GGTAAGAGCACAAGATGAATGTCATGGGCTATTAGGATCCTCATGATCACCAGGAATACTACGGAATGTATACAATTTAATTATTGCCTTCAAAAAACTGAGAATTCTACAGAAAAAGATGTATTGAATCAAAGAATTTCATTTTCAGATAGAGTTGCACCAATTTTTGTTAAACAAAAAGTAAAGTGTTATATATTCCTCTCTAGCCTACAAACCTAAACTGTAGTTACCATCAATGACTACACGCAATTTTCATATGGTTATTTTATATCTATATATAAATATATGAATGTATATATATATGACTTTGCTTTATTTGTCAGTATTTTCATACTGTTAAAAAGCATCACTGGAAATCAATTAATATTTGTTCTGGAAACTATGTGGATCCAATGATAAAATAACAAGTTATATAAACCTGTAGACATTAAAATTGGGGAAGAAACAATTCTCATCCTAATTGTACTTGAAGTCAGATAAATAATAAGGCAACATTGTTACAATTCTTAAGAACTATTTTCAGTCTTTGATTGTCAATGTATTTTGTATAATGTTATTTTAGAAATAAACTCTATTATTCTGCAGTTTAGAAAATTTGCCTATGTTCCCTTTTTTTCAATAGGAAATTTCTCTTGCCCTTGCAATCTTCCACAATGCCATTTATTGATTTGCTCTAAAAAAGTATCTACAATTCTAAATGTATTTGAAGGGACTTATTACCTACAGGAAGGTACCCCACTCAGATCTCAGTTTATTTAATGTGCCTTTTCTTAAGCTAAGGTGCTTAGGACAAAGAAAATGATTGAAATTTTTCCAGTAAAGGCTGGAAAGTCTGGTAGTCAAGAGCACAATTGAGAATACTTTTATCTATTTCTATAATTAATGTAAGGAATATTAAGTTTGGTGACTCAGCTCAGTTTTAACTTCTGCATGGCAATTAAAGTTTCCTAATACAATGATAAATGATAGGAAGTAAGACTTTCTTGTTATTGATCAAGGTATTTTTCCTATATTTTCTCCAAAATTGGCCATCAATGTCATAATCTATCCCCTTTTTGATAAAATATAAAGGATTGTTATTCATTGTCTTGTTAAATTATCTGGATTTTAGTTTCACAACTTTATCTTATTTAAATGTCTTACTATGGTTCTTTAAAAAATCACCTTTAGACTCAGTGAGGTAGTAAAAATACCTACATGAGCCAAGAAATCATGACAATAGCTGTTACCTCAAGAACATTCTGTGTTACCTCAAGGGAAAACTTGTGAGACTATAAGAGTTAGTCTTAGTACTGAAAGTTCAAGTTAGCTATTTTGGAATCTCTTCACCTGCTTTTGGTCACTTTCATAAATGGGTCTTAATTAACCAAATGGTTTATTGAGGAGGATAATTCATACAGATATTGTTTTCTTGTTAATTGTATGTTTCAAGAGAAAGTGAAGAACAAGGAAAATCTGTACTCTTCTTTGCTCTGAAAATTGCTCTAGTGTATTTCAGTTATGATGGAGGTAGGTATAATGATGAAAGGGAAATAAATTAGCAAAACTAGCCAAACTGTAGTATTTTGTTGACAATGAGATGCTTCTAGTAGTAAGAATCCATTCATCAGAATTCACTAACGTGTATCTTCCAGAAAAATGAAAGGATCCTGTGAGGTTGGTTTAAACACTGAGAAGAATTATGTGAATAAAATTAGCAAAGATAGCCCTTGTTTTAAGTGTTATACAATGTAGTAAGAGTTATGTAACTGGTAAAATTGTTGAGTTCTTCTCCCGAATCTTCCAGGCTAATTTACTATTTCTCTTCTATTTTAGGGTCCTTTTCGCATAACTCCCCAAAGCCAGTGTTCTTATTCACTTCTTTCCCTCCTTCCTATAACCCCAATGAAAGCTTTGACATTTCTTTCCCATAAAAGTGCAAATCATACTCAGAGTTGTGATAAATTTTTGGAGAGCTTTTGATATGGTGACTCATTTTAAAAACAGAAAATCAATCCCCAGATATTATGAACGACATGTCCAACGTCAAATAATAAGTTTGTGCTAGAACACAACTCTCCTGACTTCAATCTCAGTAAATCTTATAAAGATTTAAGGTGTTTTTCTGTAAAGAGAGGCCAAAGATATCTGAAACAAACATATAACAATCTAGTGGTTGAATTTTAATTTAGTGCATGGGGAAGACTTTTCTTGTTCAATTGTAGCTGGTTCCTAATGGTTGCTACAACCAATGTGTAAGACTCTGAGAACTTCACTAAGCCTAAACTTAATGTTTAACTTAGAATCAATTCAAATATTCTAAAACTTCTTGACTCATTTTTGAACCATAAGAGATGAGCTTTGAAAGAATTACAGCGGTGAGCAGTGTACTGTAACCGAAGATACCATATTATCACTTCTCCTCAGCAGCATATAGTCAGGAAATGAGATGTCTTAAATCACTTGGCAAGAAATTCCTTTTGCTGAAGAATAGCCTATCTGAATTCTTACTTGTTACTATGATAGAAAGACTTTTTGCCTCAAAGGACAACCCTTTGGTCAATCATCATCCTTGGTATGTTTCCTATGGAAATATAGCTATTAAGCTTGTCCTTCTCTCTCAGTAAAATGAAATGGTTTCACATCAGTAAATATCTAAGGTCAACTCTAAATTGCACACTTTGATTCTACAGAAACATACCAAGCAATGACTTATGTCAGAAAAGATCTCACAATAAGAATCTTATCCTGTTTATAGTCAACGATTATTATTGTTATATTATTACTGTGCTAAGCCAAAGGGAATTAAAATTAGTGCTCATGACTTGATTTACCGTTAGACTTCTCTTTATACTTGGAAAGAATTAGAATTGCTACATTTTTATAAGACTTTGAAAACAGCAATATGGAGCATTAGTGGACATAGCTAAGGAAAGGGATTCAGGATAATGAAGAGAAAAGTGTAATGTCCAAGACTTATGGAATAATTGTGATTAAGGAAGTAGAGAAAACAAATACTACTCTCCCAAGAAATTTGATGAGTAACCTTCTATTCCTTCATGTCTCCCCTGGGACCCACCAATTTCCACTCCTCTCTTCTACATCTTACTTGCTTATTAACTCCTCCACCTCATCCTACAAGTATTCACGGTCATGCTTCTCCTTCAGTCTACCATTTCAATTCCTACTTCACTTATTGTAAAACTTCTTGAAAGAGTACTTATTTTCTCTCCCCAATACAAAATGAAATGGCTTTCTCAACTTATGTCCAAGAGTCACTTTTCAGGCTCTTACCTAGCAGGTAGCAACTTACAAAAATGCCCCATCAATGTGTCCACATTTCTATACAGCTATCATTATCCTTTACCTCCTCCCAATTTATTCCTGCTCATAAAAGTGATCTGTATACTACATATTATTATTTTAGTGCTTATTATAATTTTTATCAGAATTAAAGGCATGACAATACTCACGATTACTCAAAATAAAAATGTTGACATCATCTCTTTTTCATCTCCTATATCCCGTTGGCAAACATCCTGTTATTTCTACCTTAATTATGGCTATTATGTATTGACAATGTACTATTTTTTAAAAAAATGCATTAAACGATTACTCATAATTCTTCAATAGTCCTTCATAATTAAACACAAATACCTTTGTAAGCATTCCAGGATCCTTTTTCAATTTTGTTTTCTATTAAACTCCTTCATATTTTCTCTCATGGAAGTTTTTTCTTTTGCATTTTTCTCACGTGTTTTCATTCTACTTCTGAAATCCTCTTATTTTATCATCTTTCTCACTTTTAAATCTTATCTTTCTATTATTTTCCTTATTCTTCTTCTGTTTTTCAGTTTTAATTACATATTGGCTTAACTCCTTTTCTTCTAAGCATTTTGATATCCCCAAAAGATAAGTACAAATGCCAACCTCTATAAGGTCTTATAGCTTCTACCTTCTCTTTTATAATTCTCCTAAATTTAAACTTCCCCTAAGGCTGAGTCTCTACATCTGTCTTAGCTTTTATGTTTCTATAGAAGCTTCTGAGAGACTATGAACATTATTTTGGAACTGCATCCCTCATTCATCCCCCATAAAATATTAGAGTAGTGTGAGTTCTGAGAATTTTTGGTCTGGTGAACTCATTCTAAAAATGGGAAAACAGAGGGACACAAGCAATTGAAATTCAATTATACTGTTATGATTATTATTTCCAGAAAACAAGCAAAAATTTTAAGTGATTTCTCTGTGAATTAGAAGGTGAAAAATCTTACAACTAATAATTATCTAAATCTATTAAACACTTAGTAAACACAAAAACTGTGCAAAACACTCTGCATTTACTACTTCATTTGAAATTCATAATAAACATAGGAAGTATGTTTATAGCTTCTAATATAATTAGTACTCACATTTACAAAAATGTTGAAATAGTCCTGAAGAGGATGGGTCCAAAATCTGAAGACTGCCTACAAAACCCATAGTCCTCATATAGCAAAATTGTGAGCTAGGATTTGTTTTGGCTTGATGGAGAGAAGGTTTCCAACAACTGTACACAGAATTATTGGGATGGACTACTAGGCCACTCTGAATTTGTTTTCTAAAATTACTGTCACAAAAGGACTTTGTAAATATGAAGATCATACAATTTTGTATGTATTTGAGAGTTAAGACATGGGCTACAGAATATAAACTGTTTTGGAGAACAGAGAAAAAGGAGATAAATGTAGGATGATGATACAGACTTAATCTTGCAGAGAGGGTAGAGTGAACAAAGGTATCTTATCAAGCAATAAGCCTAACGTAAATGAAGACACTGAGAAGACTTCAATAACTGGACTATAAGGCAAAGCCTGGGGAGGAGTATGGAATTAAATGATGAGTGTAGATTGTGTGACTTTTGAAAGCTTTTATGTAATAAATCATAGAAAGTCATATCAGAGAGCAAATGAGGCTTTGATATTGAATATAACAATTCTGACTTCCCTCTCACTCTCTTCTCTAAGGTTGCTACAGAGGCTGTTTCCTGGAATGAATCAATAAGGGAAACAAATCACTCCATGGTGACTGAGTTCATTTTTCTTGGACTTTCCAATTCTCAGGGACTCCAAATTTTCCTGTTTGTATTCTTCTTTGTATTCTATGTAGGAATTGTGTTTGGAAACCTTCTTATTGTCATAACTGTGGCTTCTGATTCCCACCTTCATTCTCCCATGTATTTCCTGCTGGCCAACCTCTCAGTCATTGATCTGTGTCTATCTTCAGTCACAGCCCCCAAGATGATTGCTGACTTTTTCAGTGAACACAAAGTCATCTCTTTCAAGGGCTGCTTTGCTCAGATATTTCTCCTTCATTTCTTCGGTGGAAGTGAGTTGGTGATCCTTATAGCCATGGCCTTTGACAGATATGTAGCAATCTGTAAACCTCTTCACTACTCTGAAATTATGTGTGGCAATGTGTGTATTGGCATTGCGGCTGCTGCATGGGGAACTGGCTTCCTCCACTCAGTGAGCCAATTGGCTTTTGCAGTGAACTTACTATTCTGTGGTCCCAACAATGTTGATAGCTTTTACTGTGACCCTCCTAGGCTCATCAAACTCACCTGTACAGATACCTATAGGTTGGATATCATGGTCATTGCTAACAGTGGTGTGCTCGCTGTGTGTTCTTTTATTCTCCTAATCATCTCCTACAGCATCATCCTAGTGACCATCCAGAATCGCCCTTCAGACAGGTCATCCAAGGCTCTGTCCACTTTGACTGCTCACATCACAGTAGTTCTTTTGTTCTTTGGACCATGTGTCTTCATTTATGCCTGGCCATTCCCTGTCAAGTCATTAGATAAGTTCCTTGCTGTGTTTGATTCTGTGGTCACTCCTCTCTTAAACCCAATTATTTACACACTGAGGAATAAAGACATGAAGATGGCACTGAAACGCCTGAGAAAATGGAATGTGAATTTTAGGATAAATTTTTAGATCTCTTAAAATTGTGAGACTAATCTGAGATAGTGACATAGGTATATAGTAAAGTTGGTAATTTGCTCATGAAAATTGCACCTTCCGTTTTAATATTCCTTAGTAATTGTCAGAGAACTTTCACAAACATTGACTCAGTTAATCCTTGAAAAATCTTATATATTATAATTTCAAAACAGATACAAAGTTAATATCATGATTTGAAAATATTATCTTGCTAATTCTTGGAACAGTGAAAAGCATACATATGTTAGTATTTGTACACTCTTGTGCCTTCCTGAGTGGTTCTGAGGGTAACACAGGGAAGGATAAAAACTAGCCTGACCTATAAATCAGAAAAAAAAATTTGGCTCATTTTCCCTAAAGAAATCAAAGAAACCACTGCCATACACCTAATACAAAAATATGCTTAGTGATATGGATATACGTGTCAACTTTTAAGAGGTTTACAAAAGAAACTCCTCTCTTTATAGCAATTTATAGTTCAGCTCCTATCACTGTAACAATCTATAATCCAGGTGTGCATTATCAGGAGTGACAGCAAGAGTGAATCTGCCGATATGAAATTTGCCTTGGAGGCACTTGACATTCTATAGTATGTGACTGTACCTCATAAGCAGTGAAATGTATTTAGAGAGATCCAAGTCTCTCAACATTTTGATACAAAGGGCCTCATTTGGATTCATCCATGTTATTTCCCATGGTTAGCTTTTAAGAGCATAGGCTTCAAAGTCAAAAAGTGATGGATTCAACTCTATTAGCCACTTAATAATCATGACTTTCGGCATATTGTTTATCTTTCCTAAGCTTCAGTTTCCACTCTGCAAAAAGGAGATAATACTCACTGCTAGCCCTGTGGTATAGTGGTTAAGTTTGTGGACTCTGCTTTGATGGCCCAGGGTTTATGAGTTCAGAACCCCAGGTGCAGACCTAGCACCACTCGTCAAGCCACAATGTGACAGCATCCCACAAAGAATAGAGGAAGATCAGCACAGATGTTAGCTCAGGGACAATCTTCCTCAAGTAAAAAATGGAGGATTGGCAACAGATGTTAGCTCAAATCCAATCTTCCTCAGACACACACAAAAGGAGATAATATTTATTCATACAGGTATTATGCAGCATGATGAGACAATAGACATAAATCTGATAAATAGCACACACTGTGGCATATTATCAGGACTCAAAAAATATTAGGTACCATTATCATTAGTATATAAATCCTGTATATCAACAAGACACAAGTTCTCAACTTTGTTTTCTACCAAAATACTTAAGGGATATGACACATTTCAAATTTAGCAGATGCTCATTTGGGGCATGGTAGTAGTATTTGGAAGTGTATATATTTATGTGCAAGCTTATACTCATGCACATAGACTCTACCGTCCTAGGAAAACATGCCAAAAATTCAAGATAGAAGTAAAGGGAAATATAGGTTGGAAAAAAGTTTAACCAGTGATTCTGATAAATATCTCCTCTCTCCAGCAAGAATCATTGAACCAAGCTAAAATTGAAGACTAAATATTCTAAGTAAAAAAAAAAAAAATGTGTAGTTTCTCAGAGTGGCTTGAATTAATAGATAAGAAAAGTCAGATAAGAGGGTAAAATTTGTGTTTACCCCAGAAAGAAAAAGAAACTCCATAATTAGGTTAAAAACATATAAGGGAATTAGTACATGATAGTGACGGTATTTCAAATGAATGGAGAAAGTAAGTTTCTATTAATGTGATGGTAGAATAACTGGGTAGCAAGATGGGAAAAGATATATTGGACCGATTCCTCATGTCATATGACAGGACAATTTCTAAATAAATTCAAAGATAAACACTTTTTAAAAAATTCTATATGAATATGAAAAGAAAACATAAGTTAATCTCTTTATAATCCATGAATATGATAAATATAGACAATATTAACTACATAAAATTAATTTTTAAATGCATGATAAAACTGAGAAAAGTAAAAAAAGGATAAATGAAATACCAGGGGAAAGTATTTGCAACTTACATCACAAAGAATAGTAGCACTAATATATAAAGAATTTCTTTAAAAAATGCCAACAAACAGAAAAGTGGGCAAAATATATGAATTTACAATTCATATATATGGAGATATAAATGATTCATGAAAAAATGTTCAAGCTCTCTCATATTAAGATACATGCATAGTAAATCTAAGATGAAATATCAGTTTTAATGTATAAGGCATCAAATATCTGACATCAATATTTAATGATAATATAACCTGTTGAGAAAGCTGTACAGCAAGGGACACTCCTATGCATTATTGATGAGAGTACAAAATGGTATAACCTCTTGGCAATATCTACAAAAATTACCATACTACTAACTTTTGACCCAGCAATGTTCATTCTACCCTATGGGTATATTTACAAAAATGTAAAATAAACAATTTACAAGGTTACTTGTCAAAGCATTGTTTTTAACCACAAAAGAATGGAAAATATCAAAACGACAATCAGTAAGAACTGCATAAATTATGCAAATTAACTGTACAAAATGGAACATTAAGCAACTGTAAAAATGAGTGATGAATATACCTAAATACTGCTTTGGAGGAATCTACAAAGCATATGTTAAGTGAAACCAGTAAGGTTCAAAAGAGTGTCTCTAATATGCTAATTTTTATGTTAAAATGGGGATACATACATTAGATTTATATATATAAAATTTATAAATATATATTTTATAAATACTAATATAAATATGTTTTAAATGACAAAAAAGATAATAAAAATTGTGCTCTTGTAGAGGGAAAAGGAAATAGGGCAAAAGACTGATAAAAGATAAACTTTTATGAATGTCTTATTTTATAGTTTTGAATTTAAAATCATGCAAATATTTTTACATAATTTAAAATGAAATTAAATTTTTAAAAGAGCAATCTCTAAAAATCAAGTTCAACCCAAAAGAAGTGATTTGATGGTATTTCAGTATATGTCTGTGTTAATTGTCTATAATATGAAAAAAAGATTCTTTCTAATTATAACTCAGAATTCAATTTTTGACTCAGTTAATTGTGACGGTTAATTTTACGTGTCAATTTGAAGGCCACAGTACCCAAATATTTGGTCAAACACCAGTCTAGATGTTTCTTTGAAGATACTTTTTAGATGAGAGTAATAGTTAAATCACTAAACGTTTGAGTAAAACAGACTATCTTTTTTATGTGACTTGGTTTATCCAATCAGTTGAAGACCTTAGGAGAAAACAGATAGCTCCTCAGCAAGAGGAACTTCTGCCTTCAGATTGCTTTTGGATTCAAGTTGCAACATCAACTCTTCCCTGGGTCTTCAGCCTGCCAGATTTTGCACTTGGCAGTCTCCACAACTGTGTGAGCCAATTCCTTTAAATGCACAGTCACAGACACACATGCACACATGTACTACCTATTGGTCTGGTTTTCTGCAGAAATCTAACACATAAATTTACTATATTTTGTCTATTTTCTATTTAATTGATTTCTTCTCTTATTTGTAATATTTCTATCCTTTAGTTTATTTGGATTTAATTTGTTTGTTCTTTTCTAGCTTCTTAAAAGAGAAACTTTGATAATTCACTTAAAGTTTTTTTTAATTTTCTAATAACATCATTAAAGTAATAAATTTCCATCTAAGTTATGCTTTATTACATAACAGATTTTTACATATTGTAATTTTCTTATAATTCAGTTCAAAACTTTTCCAATCTCCCTTTTAAGTTCTTCCTTGAGAGTATTGGGATAAATGGATGCTTAGACTTTTCTACATATCTTATGTTTATTTATTTCTAATTTAAACACATTGTGTTCTGAGAACATACTTTGTTAAGGTGCACATCTTGAGGTTTTCTTGAGATTAATTTTATGACCTATCTTCGCATTTCACGTGCTTTTAAAAAGAATGTGAATTCTGCTCTTGCTGGGTATAGAATTATAGCCACCAAGGTCAAGTTGATAGATGTTATTGTTCAAATCATCTATGCTATTTCTGAATTTTGCTTACTTCTTCAATAAATTACTGAAAGAGGATTGTTAAAATATCAAATTATGGTTGTAGTTCTGTTATATATATTATGTGTACATACATTATTAACACCACAATATGATGTTACGAGTTTTGCTTTAAACAGCAATGTATCTTTTAAAGAAATTAAGAGAAAAAGTACATAGTCTTTCATAATCACCACATATTTACCATTTCTGGTACTTTTCTTTCCTTTGTAGGGGGGAAGACATTTCCTCTACCTTCTCTGGGTTCCTGTGGTCGGAGAACAAATTAAATTCACATGAGACAGAATAGCAAGAGAAAATTAAACAAAGCTTTATGAGGACCATGGCCCGGGGCCTTTCTTCCCGAAGGAAGAAAGGGCACTGAAGAAGTGGGGTGCACAGAGTGGTTATATACCCCCAAACAGGATATTTCACATATGATTGAAATGTCCCTCCCACAATAGTCACAAGATTGCCCTGTTGGCACAGCGCTTGATGGACACAGCAGATAGTGGGTCTGCTGTCTAGGTGAGCATAGCAGGAGGCAAGTCTATTGTCTCAAGCTGGGTGGTCACAGGTGAGTGAAGCAATCAGTTCCTAGCCTAAGGAAAGATGCTTAATCCTTAAAGAAATGCTAGCGTTGGGAGGGAGGGAAGTTGCACCTTTATCTCAAGGGCTTTGTTCTTGCCATAGGGAATATCTAAAGCAGATATACAATGCGTGCTCAATGGCCACAGTCAGGCCCTTTTGGAAAAAATAGCAAAGTCAGGCCGAATTAGGCTTACACCACATGGCTTCCTCATGTACTCCAATATATCCTTATTGCTTGCCATTTCTATTTGTCAATGTATAGATGGGAGAGGCTCAGGCAAGCCAAGCAACTTGCCAAAATGGCAGAAACCACCACACCAAATATCATATCCAGCCAAAAGACAAAGGAGGACACTGGGGGTGGAGGGAGCCAGTTAGAAGAGGTTACCAAACAAGCACAATAAACAAATGCAGAT